AAAGTGTCGAAAAAGGTGTTCTGGGAGTGCTCCGAAAATCAATTTGGTCTACCTAAAAAAAGGTCAACAATTTTTTTTGAAAATCCGCCCCCCCTTTCTCGAAGAAATCCTAATCAGCCCCTGCCCCCCCCCTTTAATAAAAAAACTGCCTTTGTGTATGTGAAAGATCGTAATCTAATCTACTTCCTCCTGTTTTAAAACATTGAATTTTTAAAACATCGAGAAACATCCTGTTTTAAAACATCATATTTTCTGTAAATCTGAGGTTGGTATCTGGGGGGTGGAGGGGGGGGGGGGGGGGGGGTGGTTGGGGTGTGGCAAATTGAGTGTCTCCGGGGTCGAGATCCCGCTCAAAAACCGCTCATATCTTGAGCGGTTTTTGAGCGGGATCTCGATCCGGGAGACACTCATTTTGCCACTGTTTAACACTCACATCCGCTGTTGTGCCCCTGTTTAAGAACTACATGCAATTTTATTGGTTATATTTCTGGGCTGGGTTATGTTGCTTCACCCTCAAGCAACGAGCACGGCTCATGGTGGGCCTCGAACATCCGACCTTTCGATTGAGAGGCGGAGACGTAACCACTTCACCACCACTTCACCATATCAAAGGTGAAACGTACAGTGTATGAAATTGTGGGAGGAAAAGAGCCCTTAGTTATTGTAAAGATCTTCAATGGGAAATAGCGCACCTATGTTCCGTTCTTCCGAACATCATGGAGCTCCTGGACTGTCGCATCGTGTTGTGTTTCTTGAAGTGTGATTTCTGTTTCATACTTGAATCTCTGAAGTGTTCGCCACCTGTGTTAGAATATAAGAGAATACAGCAAATACTCCTTGATTTCGTTTTAACTCTTTACTATTAAAAAGGGATCTACTTAACAATCTCCACCCCTTTCAAGAAAGGGGGGAGATTGTCAAGTAGATCAAAATGGTCGATTTTTCTACCAATCAGAATGCAGCAAAATTATAATTCTCAATAGAAAGCTCAGTGCTAATTTACTGTATATATTTATACGGGCGGAGACTCTTAAGCAGGTACCATAGGGGGGAAATTGTTAAGCAATATTTTGCAATATTTTGCAATATTTTACTTAGCAGTCCATCTCCCCTCAAAAGTCAGATACAATCGTGCCAGTTCACACCGAAAAAATCTTTGAAAAAAAAATCGAAGTCAAGATCGCAAAATTTTCTCAAGAAAATACTAAAATTAAAAAAATATTAAATTATCAAATATGTGAATTTTTTTTAAAAAATACTAAAAAAATTCTAATAAAGACAGTTGGTGAACCCAGCTATTAATTTTTATTAATTTCATGAATTTTTTTAACTACATTTTTACCTTCCACTGAATATTGGTGAGTCATCGTCTGAGTTTGACAGCTAACAATGTTTTCATTCGAGTTTGAAGTCTCTTTGTTCGAGCTTCTTCCTGTGAGTCGCTTGAAAATACTTTTTCTTTTTTCCACCCGCGTGTTAGCCCCTCCAGGGCTCGAACCGGTCACGTTGGGTTTGTTGACCGGACTCAAATTCATGTCTAGTGAAATTTTTCTGGTTTGAACAGACGAATTGACTTCTTGCGAGATGTATTCCTACAACAAAAAACTGAGTTTCGGCTTAAGGCCAATGTAATCACTTGGATAGATAGTTAGTGCTTGAGAAAAAAATACCACCTTCCAATACCACAAAATACCAAAATAAAGGTATTTAAAATGAATCTGAATGAGTCACAAGACATCCACCCGCAGAAGCGAATCTAGGATTTTCTAAAAATTTTTGAACTTTTTTCTTAGGCGAAATTTTCTAGGCAGACCAAATTGAGTTTCTGAGCACTCTCAGAACACTATAAACCCACTATTTCGACCAAAAATTTTGCACAACAGGCAATTTTTTGAAGAAAAAAAACGTTTTTGGGCACTTTTTGAAAATTTTAACAAAAAAATTTCGTTTTTTCTGCGCACGCTTCCCTTCAAAATTAGTATTTATTGGAATATTTAACAAGACTGCTCGTATCAGGCCGAAGCCCCAAATCTCTTCAAAAATCAAAAACGTTCATTTTCTTTTTCAAACGTTTTCCATCTAGCACAGCTATTCCGCCATATTCTTCAAAAATTAGCTTTTCACATATGTACTTGTTTTTTGGCATTGGATTTTTTTATTTTCTAAGCAACATTTTTTTTCTATTTCTAAGCAACATTAAACTACAAATAATTCAATAATAAAAAATAGCAAAAATTACGAACTTGCATTGTGTGATGTTCGTGAAAACTCAGATCGTTCAGACTCGCATTCGTGTATGCCCTCGGTTTGTTCATTTTCATGTCTTCCTTCTCAGCCTCCAAAATGTCCTCACAGAACAGGTAAACGCGTCTCGTTTGCTCACTTATTTTAACGTTATCATTTTTCATCATGTCAATAATTTCTTCTAGTTTCTGTTGCGGTGAACTAAATGTGCAAAATGATTTTCGCGCCTCCAAACCAAAATTTGATTGCCCTAATTGAAAATTCCGAAGCGTTAGCGGAAACTCAGGGAAATTTCCGTCGTCGTCATCGTCGTCGGAATCTCGAACCGGGGCTTCGTCATCTTCGCGACTCGTCTCCTGGATTTGAAACGACGAACCGAACAATGAAACACGACTTCCGCGGCTAGACTTACAAGACCCTAGAGTCGAAACATGAGAGTTCGACGACCGCCACGTATTCGAGTTTACCGAGTTTGAGCTTCGTCGACGACGGAATTGATCGGGGGTCAGAAAAGAGAAGCGTCTTTCCGCTTTAATAGTCTCTTGAACACTCATTTTTTCGGCTTGCAAATTATCATCATCAACATGTGAAGGAAATGGCAATGTATTTGATGAAAACAGAACATTATTAATGCCGGCACTAAATCTTCGAACTTTAACACTGGTTGAAATTTTAGATTTGGTGTTAATTTTAGTCAATTTTGTCGATTTTGAGTCCATTTTTTTTCTTCAAAAATGTAATCATAAAATTAAACACTCTAATTTGGTTAATAAATTTGAGAGCAGTGAAGGTTTTTTGCGTTTCGATGAATTGAAATGGAAGTAACGCACTGAAACCAGGGCAGAATAATTGACTGCATATTTGAAGTTTTCAATTATTTGATTTGGGTTACAACCACAAAAGTTTCGCAGTTTATTCAGGTCAAAATTTATTGTATTAATAACAATGAGTGCAAAGAATTGTCTATTTATTCGGCAGACAAAATTTCCTCCAAAAATAGCGGATAAAAATTGGGATGAATAGAATTCGATATCAGAAATCGATTTTGATTGAAAAATAAAGGAAAGTTAATCGACTTTTATGAAAATAAAGATTGTCAAATAAAAACGAAATAAAACTTCGATAAGTTTTCTTAGATTGCGATTGAACTGATATAGAACTTGATAAACGGTAGAAACTTCACCGCCAAATTGTTACTGTGAATGAAAGTTGATAAAGCTCGAACAGTTAAGTAAGCTGGTATATGGCGCAAATGTGTATGATGGCGCCTTCAGATGTTAAGTCCATTCATTTTATACCTTTATTGGCATTGGTAGGGTAATTTCAGGGGAGAATAGTTTGACAGTAACTTGATAACATAAATCTACCATTATTTGTAACTTTATCGTCATGAAACTATTGAATTAGACGTCATTTATTGTATATGTATTTATTTTATAACAGTTTTTTTTTCAATCATTGACAAGAAATTTTAAAAATTAACAAAACTTGAAACTTAAAAAATATTTTTAAAAAAGCTGCTTAAATCAGGGCAAAATTTTGAATGTTCTGTCTGCCCTTTAACGTCGATCAAAGCGCAGTCAGAAAATTGGTTGCAAAAGTTTGATAAAAAAAATTGAAAAATAACATGAAAACTTTTTCAATTTTCAATAAATTTTTTTAATTCAACTTCAGCTTATAATTTTATCCTAGCTACGCAAAATACAAAAAGAACTTGCGTCTAGTGAAATTTAAATTAGAGCAAAAAGCCTGCCTTAATTCAACTTGGATTGAGTTGATTTACAGCTGACGCTTGAATATGACGAATTTTACTGAGCGTTCAATGTCCCAAATTGGACCCCCAAAAACTCTGCAACCCGAAAAACTCTCAAATATTACGAAAGACCACCCCAAGCATAAACATACCATCATTTTTTTTGTAAGAGTTAGCAAAAAATGGTTCTCTCAGATAAAAACAATGGTGGCATTGGAAAAAAACAGTAATACTTGAGGATGCATCATTTGACCAAAAACTAAGAAAATCAATTTTTGATTCAAAGTCAAAACTGTTTGAATCAGAGCAGAATCAGTCCTCAAATTTTCCCGAGTTGAACTCACAGTAAAATTCAATGCAGGATCAAGGTTAATTCATGAACTGGCATCTATGAATCAAGTTCTGATCAGTGTCACAGCAGCTCAGTTCAGATTCAAGGCTCATTCAGCGCTCTAAATATCATTAAAAACAGCCATGAATCAGCGAAGGTTGAACGTTGCAATGTTAATGAAACAAAGCTGAAACAAACCGATTCAGTGCTGATGCAGCGCTATTATCCCAATTTTTTATCAAAATTTGGTGGGGAAGACCTAAGACATGTATATTCGTACAATTCACGCCCTGAAACGCACGAATATGCATGTTTTAGGTCCCTTTCCCACCAAAATTAGGGTTGAATAAGCGATGAACCAGCAATGCAAGAACTTTGTAAAAACGCTGAAAATGCTGATTTAGGAAATTGTTGATCCGAAGATGTTATACCACTAAGCAATCTATGAAGCAGCGTTAAGTCAGCACTTCGAAAAACCATGAACAACACTGAAAAAAACTGTTTCATCGCTGATTAATTCTGATGAACCCAAAGAAAAGAGCTGAAAGAAATGAATTGACGTAACGCTCAACTTGAAATAATATCAGTCTACGGAAACAACTTAAGAGATTACAATCAATGATAGAGTACAGTACGGAATCAAACATCAGATTACAACCAAATCAATAATGAAACGGAAAAAAACTATAAAAAAATCAATTGAGCTCGTTTTTCAAAATCCCAGCTGCGCACAAATTAAATGTTTATTTTTAAGTCAATTAACCGCTTTCCTCAAGACAATTTACACACTGTTTTTTTTTCAGGAAAATGGGCGTCAACAATATCATATTATTCAAAGTAACATAATCCTAATTTCAAGAAAAGACAAACGTGAAAAATATCGAAAAAAAAACAATAAAACAATTTTTAACCAATTGATAAGATATGCGTGTATACAGGATTTGATTGGAACTGTTAACTTTCTTCAATTCAATTTATATTGAATTGTTTGAGCTGTAATTCGCCTCTGCTTACCATTGTGCACTAAAAATAGCGAATAAAAAGCGTATTAAAAATACCAACCTGGTTGTTGTAAAAAAAGCAACTTCATTAAAATGGTCTTTCAGATTTGTATTCATAGCTGGCCGGAGGAAAAATCAGTCTGAAAAAAAATACAATGCCAATAGTAGTAGTATAAATTGGTCTGAAAAGCTCTCAATTGGATAAATCATCTATTTTATACTAAGTTTTAATCTTTTGCATGAATTACCGTGAATTGAAATTCCACTAACCATTTTTTATTGCGATTTAAACCCTCATTCTTAACGGCTGAGACATTAAGAGATTTGCGCAAAGCATTGAAAATAATTAACAGTTCTTTTTGTTATACAATCGTATCGCCATTCAAAAACACTGTACATAAGTGAAGTCGTCTTTGATGCCATTGGTAAAATTTTAAGAGTCTGTTAGCCAAAATCCGATGACTTAAAAAGTACCAAAAAGCTGTAATTTGGGCGGCGATAGCGTTGCATTATCGAGGAGGGTGCATTCCTGGTTAATCCCATGGGATTTTGCCTTTGGTGTTCCAAATTAAACATTTTTGCCCCACAAAATTTCTCATTTGAATCGATTACCCACACAAAAAAAGGAATTAGAACAGTCTATTCCTGCAAGTTTTGAATTACTTTTTTCTTAGTTCGAAGATGGGGTTAAAATGAGTAGCCTGAGTTTTGATTCTGCCTAGTTCTGATTAAAAAAAACTGACAACAACGTGCAAAATTTCTTATTTTCAAGATGTCGCATTTATTTCTTTTGCTTCAATAAACAATGAGCAGGTTTCAATGAATTTATTTTGCTGTCGTTTGAGTTACAGGTTCTTTTTTTTCGGATTCGTTGGATTTTTCTAAATTGCCAGTTTTTAATTCAGTGGATATCTACATATCATAATTGCGTTTACAAGTGATTGTATTTCTCCTTATCTCCTTATTTCGGTCGAAAACTTACCAATTTAGTATCTTCTCTGAATTTCCTCAAATCCACCTTTTCTCAAGTGTTCCGCCTAGCAATTAACAAAAATTAACAAGGATAGCAAGTTACTGTGCAAGAAGCACAGAATGCTCCGACCAGTCTTAAAAAAGTACAACAAACTTTTTTTCCAAAGTGTCGTTTTTTTCGGCTTGGTGTGATAAAAGAATCTGAGCAAAAAAAGTAGAGCTTAGGCATTTTTGTGAGTCATTGTGAAATAAGAAAGTTGGAAAAAAAATTTGAAGACGTTTATAAAAAAAACAAAAAGTTAGAGTTTTCAAAAATTTTTTGTTTTCTTTCTTTTTTACCGGATACTATTGCATTTAAGCAAATGATTATTGATTTACAAAAAAATCAAAAATTTCAAACCGGTTTTTCTCGACACTGGGAGAATTTTTTATGTTGTTCGAATGACGACTGAAAGGGCTTTAAAATGATATATCAATCAACCCAGTCCGAAGATTATTTGTGGTAGCTAACTTTGCGTGGAAAACAAAAAGCAAGAAAAAACTTAAACACACCCGAATACAACGTTCCTCCCCGTTTTCAATGGTGGGAACAAAAACAATGCTGTTGAAATCTAATTTATTTTTTTTTGCTCCAAATTTACAAGAAATGAAACACAACTATGCTCCGGGTGTTATTTTTTATTCAGTCAAATTTTGCGATTGGAGTAAAAACTTTTAGCAAAAAATTTCATACCTCAGTGAAGATAGCGACTCCCTGAATTCAAATTAAAAAATGTCACCTTCAATTTGAAAAAAACTGGGAGTTTGAAAATTGCTAATTTGGCTATGCTCTGGACTAAATTATACGGTCTGTGACACTTTTATTTTTTCAACCATTTTGAGTCACAAAATTGTTTATATCAAATGTTAATGACTCTAATGGTCAACACTTGTAGCTGCTGCTGGATAAACGTTGTTCAGAAAAAGACTTAATTGACACCTATTAAGTTTTTCAATGAGATGTTTCAACTTCAACCATTTTCGACAAAATTCTGAAGAAAACTTGAAAACGGAAACTCTAAAAAGAATTAAAATCACATTTGTCAGAAACAATCCAAGATGTGTCAACACAGTTTTTAAGCGTTGAGAATAAATTAGCTCGCCGAATTGGTTACAAATGAAATCATCAAGGTTAAAATGAAATCAATTCACTTCCGAGACTTGAAAAATTGTTGGAATTACAATGAAAAAGAGTTTTGGTTTTTGAAAATATCAATCACAAAGGACTCAAGAAGCACAAAACCTCCAAGTATTAACACATAAATTTGAAAAAAAAAACGAAAATATTAAGACAAAGCTGCAAAAAACTGCAAGCGTAGCAGTAAGACTAGTAATTTTAATCAAAATACAAGTCAGTTTTTTAAAGTTTGGATGACAAAATCTTTCAAATGGTAGTAAACAATTTTGACAAACGCATTTAATTAAAAAATCAAAAGCCCTTCAATATAAAGAAACAAACGTTACTTTTTTGCTAGCAATCGTTTTTGTTATTAAATTTAAATTTTATTTGTTTTTCATTCACAATTTTTCAGCTGGTTTGTTGGCTATCATCGGATTTTGCATCGAATTCATTTTTTCCATCGCATTTTCAAATTGCGGCTTATTAACGAAACTTGACTCACTGTATCATTGTCATAACTTCGTATAATGCAACAGGAGAAAAGTTATTTACAATTTTAATCAATATTCATTCGCTTAAGTACAA